TGTCATCTTCTCGGTTTCATTCAACCAAAAGTGAAAGTGATGAAACTTGATTATTTGGAAAGACTTCGACTGGAGTTATTAGGGACAAATACCGACTGGTATAAGAATATTGTTTTGGCTTTAACCAAATCCATAAAAATCAAGGGTTCAAGATATATTATCAACATTTAGAAAAATTCAAAAAAATTGGTCTAAATTTCGAACTTTTTACTTTGAATTTTTAAAACAATTTTGGGTAAGCTGGGCTCGAATCGTCACATGCTGTATCGTATTACTTGTCACGTAAAAACACATTTTTCGGATTTTGACAAACGTGAACGTACTCTTTATCCCATTCAGCTTAAATGACTGTGAACGGATCGAGCACAGTTTTATACCCATGGAATTTTAGGATAACCAAAAATTTGCTGCTAAAAATTCCCATTGATTTTTAAAAATTTGTTTGTTGCAAGGCACATTAAACAGGTAGTATCAGTAGAGCAAAAACAACATTTGCGTGTATTTTGTTGTTGCTTCTGGTATCGAAAGTGTCAAAAACTGTTCTGAATTTTTTCTTCTAAATCAAAGCGTGCCATGTGAAATACAAAAAATTATAAAAAATAAAAAATTGAAATTGGAAAAAATTAAAATTGATGCAATTTTCTTTCCTAGTAAATTTGTTTGCTTCTCGAAGCATTGATCCATCCTTTGCAAGGCCCAGTAATCAGCGGTCGTGCTGCTGAGTTGGGCGAACGTTCCAAAAGCTGCTATTCAATCGCTTGTTTTGTATGGAAAAAGGTTTCAGATGCAAATGGATTTTAACAATTCAGAATTTTTGTGAGAAAAAATTAAAAATATTTGACATTTTCGAGACCAAATAATTTGAAAATAAATCAAATCAGCTGCTCTACTGATACTACCTGTTCAATGTACCTTGGTTTGTTGGCTGTCTTTTGTGTTTTTTTTTTGTATTTAAAAATTACTTGCCATTTGGAAAAACTGGCTTTGACTATTTTTTTTTTTTGCAAACAATCATAGTGTGTAATTACATACCTGTCCATTTTTTCTTTTTCTTTAAATAATCGTTTAAAATATTTAGGCATTTTGAACGATATGACTTTATCGCATGCATTAAAGCTTTCGATTTTAATTAATGCAGTAAATTAGGCTACACTTTTGGAAAGAAATTTATAATATGAATATAATAATAATTCGGTGGGAGTCCCACACTCGGGGAAGGTAGTATAGAGACTAGCGCCCCCGGCCAGTGCATAAAGCATTTCCCTCTCCTACGAAAAAAAAAAAAATAATAATAATAGATTGGCGCTTACACATATGTTAGTGTTTGGCCGAGCTTCTCCTCCGACTTGTGGCGTGCGCCTTGATGTTGTCACACAAAGCGGAGAGACCTACGGTTTTACGCCGACTCCGAACGGCGATTGTATTTTTATGAGAAGCTGTTTTTGATGGCAGAAATACACTCGGAGGTTTGCCATTGCCTGCCGAGGGACGACCGCTGTTAAGAAAAAACCT